TACAGACAAGTATCTCTCAATGTATGCATAAAAGTAATTATTAAATATAATTCCACAGTGTATACAAATAACTGTAGTAGCTGCAGAAATGGCTTGGCCATTAGGACAGACACTGCCCTTGTGGAGGACTTGGGCTCAGTCTCCACCACTGTTCAGACAGCTCAGAACTCCAGCCAGGGGGAGGTCTGAGTAGGAAGGGCCCTATGTACTCATGTGTTTGGATGCTTGGTCTAAGGAGTGCCACTCTTAGGAGGTCTTATTCGAGTAGGCAGGGCTTTGGTGTAGGAAGTGTGCCACTGCCAGGGGTGGGGGTGGGGAGGGCAGGGGGCTTTGAGGTCTCAAGTGCTTAAGGCCAGGCTCAGTTTTCTCCTAGCTGCCTGCATATCAGATGTAGACCTCTCAGCTCCTGCTTCAGCACCATGTCTGCCTGCATGCTAGCATGCTTCCTGTCATGATGATATGGACTAAACCTCTGAACTGAAAGCCAGCCCCAACTAAATGTTTTCCTTTATAAGAGTTTCCATGTGGGCTGATGAGATGCTTTGGAGGCTAAGAGCACTGGCTGTTCTTCCAGTGGACCCAGATACAATTCCCAGCACCCACATGGTAGCTCACACCTATAACTCCAGCTCCAGGGGATCCAATACCTTCACATACACATACATACAGGCAAAACTCCAATGCACATAAAATAAAAGTAAATAATAAATTTATTTAAAAGAGTTACCATGGTCACGGTGTCTCTTCACAGCAATAAAACCCTAATTAAGACACATACACACACACACATAATTAAAAATAAAGTGCATAGAGAGATTGCTCAGAGGTTATAAGAGCACTTGCTTCAGAGGACCCGTGTTTGGTTCCTACCACCCACACCAAGCAGCTCACAAGTGCCTGCAACTGTAGTTCCATGGGATCTAATGCCCTCTTCTGGCCTCTGTGGGCACTGCATGCATGTGGTACACATAAAACAGCAGGCATACACATGTACACATTGACACAATTTTAAATTAAAAAACAAATAAAAGATTAAATCATTTAAAAATTGTACATCACAACTAGGATTTATCCTTTGGTTTAACATAGAATCAATGTATATACTTCCTCACATGAATGGGCTAAAGAAGAAAAGTCACATGATCATTTCAATGGATACAGCAAAAGCATTTGACAAAATCTAACTTTTATCAAACTAGGCCTAGAAGGCAACTTCTTCAAGTTGCTAAAAAGTATCTGTAGAAAACATACAGTTAACATACATGATGATGAGAAAACTCATTATAGAAAAAGAGATCAGAAATAGTGCAAAAAGAAAAGTAGAGTGGAATAATTTATATGTTAAGAGAGAAAAACACCTTCCCATCTCAAGTTCTATACCTGGAAGAATTATACTTCAATTTAATAATGAAAGCCTGCCCTAACTTTCAGTGACCACATCCTCAGCACCAGATTAGAGAAACATGAAGGAATCAAGAAGGAAAACGATGAGCAAAACCACCACAGTCGGAAAAAATTCTGTATTACAGATGATGAAACTTACACAGACGGGTTGAACACTGCCCAGGTTCACACAGCAGGCAGGTCCTGGAGCTAGGCTTTGAAACCAGTGAGTCTGACCTCTCAGGTTCATGCTTTAATCTCATGCCATTGAAATAAACTTTATATTGAAAGCCAAGGATGATACAGATAATTGCCTGAAAGCTCCATATCCACTTTCTACTGTCCCCAAATCATTTTACTTCATCACTACTCACTCTGTAATTAAAAGCAATTAAGGATAAAAATAGACTGCTCATCTGTATAAATAAACTTATGGCATTTCCCCTCCAAATCACGTTGTTTGTGTTTATGTGTAGGCTTAGTTCTTTTCAAAATCTACTTTAGTAAGGGTTCTTAAACCCTTTTACCTTCCTTCTAGCCCGCCATGCGCCAGAGGTAGTAGAAAGGAAAGGTTAATAGGGCAAAGGGGGATGTGGACCTGTTTAGAAATAATTCTTTGGGACGATTCCAGTCTTTGTAGTCAGGGTATCAGCAGTTCAGTTCACACAAATCAACAGAGTAGTTTCATCCACTCACAAACACCATTCCCGAATCAGCAATAGCAGTTCATCCAGAAGATGCCTCAGGCTCTGCCAATACGTCTGAGTCAGCAGAAGCAGCAAGAAGCCACCTGGATATCATGAAAAACTCTGTGATGTGTTTGTCTCTAGGAGTCATGACAAACAATGATCATTGAAGAAGGCAAGGTGAAACAACGCCACCACGGTGTCCACTGTCTGTTGCGCTATTTTTATACCCTTCCCAAACATCACATGTCCTCTCGAGCATCTGCTCCAGCAAAACATCACATGCCTCCTTTCCAGGCAGCTTCCAGAAAAATACCAAGTGTCTGTTCTCAACAAAACATCCTCTCATGAGATGTTTCCAGAAAAACATCACAGTACACAACTGAGACTCCAAAGAAAGCAGAGATTTCCCTTTCATTTATGGATTTCAAATGTATCACATTAAAATGCTGCTATCTGGTTCTGTATTCCAGCCTGATCAGAGAAACGTTCACAAAGCTTGTAAGAGTAAGGGATATACAGATACTTTGTTTTCTTCTGTATTTCGACCAAGGGCTCTCACCTCGTCCAGGCTGACCTTCAGTTTGCTCTGGAACTTCGACTGGTCTTGAATTTGAGAACCTTCTGTCTTGGCCTTCCAAGTACTGCAATTCCAGGCCTGTGCCACCACACCCAGCTGAGAAATATCCCTTCTATATAGAAACTTAAAATTTTTCTGAGAAATATTCTTCCCATGTAGAAGGTTAATTTCTTAGAAACCCATTCTTCGATACATAAACTGGCTGGCTTTTAATGATATTAAGATTAAGACTATTAATATTAGAATTTCTTTAACAGGGTCTTGTCCTTTATGATATCCTAAGCTTTTTTGGTTTAGTTTTGGTTTCAATGAAAGGCAGGGTTTCTCTGTATAGCCTGGGAACTCAGAGATCTGCCTGCTTCTGCCTGGTGAGTGCTGGGATTGACGGTGTGTGCAACCACGACCTGCTTGTCCTAAGCTCTTTGACAACGCTAGGAAAGAATTCTCCAAAATTCATCTCTATTTTGTTGTTTGCAGATCTCAAATCTTGTCTAGTTATTCGGTGGTGTCCCAAGTACTGAAATGTACATTTTCCGCAGTGATTCAGTTAACAGCCGTCTCCACTTAGAAGTTATTTTACAGGCCGGAACTGTAGCTTAACATAGTAGGAATGCTATTACCAATATGCACAAGGATCTGGGGTCTATCCCCATTAGGAACAACAAGAAGAAGAAAAGTCACTTTGCATTCGCCAACGGGTTTCTAAAAGTTCGTTTGTACCTCATACCAGAGTCCTACGGATTGGTCATTATTGAATGTAAAGGACTCAAAAATTGTATCCATTGATTATGTCTACCTAGTGAGGACTCTAAGCAGCCGCACACCCGTTTTAGGTCATTTATCTGGAGTGATGGTGGTAGAGCTGGTTCTCAAAACCACATTGACTAAAGCAGTTAACTTTCTGTGGGGCTTTTGCAGCAGGAAAGCTGTAGAACCGGCCGAAGCTGGAATTCCACTGGCACCTGCTGTTCAAGGTGGTGGCCAGCCTCCCAAGTGAATAGGCTTTTCAGCCAAGAACTCAGGAAGTTCCTCGCTAACCCCGGTCTCCGGGACAAGTCACTACAGAGCAGACCCCCGCGGCCAAGGCTCCTCGCTTCCAGAACGGAGAGTGTGCTCTGCAGGGCGCTTCCCTACCGCCCGCGCCGGGCGCCTGGGTCCGCTGTGCGAGCAGAGGCGACGGCTCGGCGGCCCCCGCACCGCGGCTGGCTGGGCTGGGCGGGGCGCAGGGCCGGTCCCACCGCCGCGAGCCCCAACCTGCCCGCCCGACCTGGCGGCGCAGTCTCGCGGGATCGCCCAGCTCTCGCTCCCCGTGCGGCCCCGGAGGCGCTCGAGGCCGGGACGCTGCCCCCCACCCCCACCGCACGCACACCCGGCTGTCTGAGGTGGCGGGGCCACGCGACGCCGAGGGACAGCCGCCTCCCCCGGCCGCCCGAGGTGAGGCGTCCCGGGCCCGACGGGGCGGGCGGGCAGCGGCCAGGACCGGAGCCGCAGGTGCGTCGCCTCGGAGTCCCACGCAAGTCCTGGGAAGTGACTCCGGGTCCCCGCGGGCCGGGACGGAGCTGTTCGGCTGCCGGCCGGGAACAGGTGCCCCGACGCGGGACCCCGGGGGTTCGGGGGAGCCTCCCGCAGTCCCCGGGAGCTGCCGTGGAAGGTTTGCGCTGGGTGGAATTCGGGGTACGGGGGCACGGGGTGAGCGCGTTGAAGGGGGAAGGTGCTGGAGGTGAAGAATGATCACAGGCCCACTCTTCCCAGGGGACCTCGGCCAACCCCGGCAGACGGATTCGCCTTTGCGAAAACAGGAAAGGCACATCCGCAGACGGCTGCTATTGTAGAGAGAGCTAAAGTTGAAGAACTCTGTCTGGGACTTAGGGAATCCCACTGGTCCTCATTTTTGCCATATAGTGAGATGACCAAGGGGCCCCTAAACCCATCTGCACCCCTTCCCCCTCTCCAGATTTCTTTACCCTGCCTCTCTTACCCAGTGTTTCAGACAGTATAAACCGTCATCAGCACTTCCCTAGAGTTGAGGCTTCCTTAGCTAAAGGATAGCCGGGCAGGTGGAAATGACTCTTGTTAAGATGGAATTTTCCACAGTTTTTTCTAGCATCAGTCACCTAGCATGAAATTTGACTTGGATTTGATTTTGTGACAGATGTTGCTGATAACACACTTTGGGTTTGTTTTTACAGCAATTGCCCCAGAACTCATTTTCAGGAAACAGTTTCTTTCAAAATGGTAAAAAGAATGAAATGACGAATTTGTACGTTTTCTCTCTGATTTGACAATCTTTTGATGCGGAAAGGAGTGTAAGAGTAATCCAAGCCATGTGGTAAAATCGGAGTCTGGAGAAGATGGAAATGTCCCCGTTTCTGTTGACATGCATTCTTCTGCCCCTCGTAAGAGGGCACAGCCTTTTCACCTGTGAGCCAATCACTGTTCCCAGATGTATGAAAATGGCCTACAACATGACGTTTTTCCCTAACCTGATGGGTCATTATGACCAGGGAATCGCTGCTGTGGAAATGAAGGTGAGTGAGTCTTCACGACTATATTGAAAATTAGTTTATATGTAGGTTCTCTTAACCTACTACTTTTAAATCTTTAAACAGTTTTTTTCCTATCATATTTTTAAAGTACTTTTGAAAATTAAGTAAGTTCCTCCCTTCCCGCTGACATATTTTGTCTACATTTGGGCCGCTAGTTAATTTGGTTTAAAAAAAGTTGAGTTCATAATGAAGGATGCTTACAGATAATAACAATATTTTGCTTTTCTGAATTTGTGTCATTGCTTCTTTAGGACTGTGACTTCTGAATTATTTTAATTTTTAACATTTTTTTGTTAGGTTGGTTTTTCAAGATAAGGTTTCTTTGTGTAGTCCTGGCTGCCCTGGAACTCACACTGTAGACCAGGCTAGCCTGGAACTCAAGAGATACACCTGCCTCTGCCTCGCGAGTGCTGGGATTAAAGGTGTGCGCCACCGTATACCACCACACTGGGCCCCAAATTCTGGATTTTTTAAATGGTTGACTGAACATATAATCTGTATTGCTTGAACTAAAATGAAAGAAACTTACATGTTTTTAAAAAGTACTTGGCAATTTATGTGACTGAGTTTTCCCAAAGCTAATAAATTATTGAAATGTTTTGGTGCTAAAGAGAATGTTTTACTAAAAGGTGACTTTCAGTAGCATGTAAGTGTGGTTTCTTTATATAGGATACTTGTTAAAAGAAAGTCCACTTGTAGGGTGAAGGGCAGTGTGGCTCTAAAGATTGCCTCAGGTGCCTCAGTTACCTGTCTCTGGTTTAGAGATATGCAAATGTCCCAGGGAGGTGTGGGAAGAAAGAGCTGCCTGTAGAGACAGGAACCTGCCTTGCCACACAGATCTGTTAGGTTGATAAGCTTCATGAAGAAAAAAAAGACAAGGATGTAAGTTTTGTAATCTTTCTCTAGAAAAGCTGCAGCCAGTAAAGGTTTTTCCTCAGGTTGTCTCTGAGAGATGTAACCCCTAGAAATATAATCTAGATAGATTTTAAACTGACCACATTTGATCTTGCAGCTTTGAAGGCTGAATAGTTAGTTGTCTGACTATCTCTCTGTAGACTCCTGTCTGGGTAGGGTGGTTTTTAAATACTAAGATATAATTTTAAAAGACTTACAAGTTATAGTGTTTTAATCTTTCAGTAGTTTTTCCAAACTAGAGCAGACTCCACTTCTTTCTATCAGATGGGCGGGGCACTGAGGACTGAGCATAGAGCCCCTCAAATACAGCAAGGTCTCGCCCACCCAGCTACACCCTCAGCCCTGCAAGGCCTTCTTTTGAACACTCAACAAAGGATACAGGGAGACTTTCACTGATTAATCAGAGCCGTAAGTGTATAGTGGATACCATCGAGCAGTAATTACAGCATTTGGTCTGGCTGCCTCTGATGATAGTGTGTTATAATACATGCTCCAGTAAGGATTCGTAAAGGACTTTATTTTAATCTGGTTTTCTCTCTATATAGCAGCTATGTACATTTTAGTCTTAAATGCTTACAGTGACCTTAGAAATTCATAACATTTACACTCGATGCCCTTCTTATAGGAGCAGAGAAGCAGACGGTACATCAGCTGTTTTAAAGGGCTTTGAAGGCAGTAACAACTAGTTTATGTTACATGGATTATCTTTTTTAAAGAGAGGTGCTTCTGTTCTACTTTTAAAAAGTTTCTTGTTGTTGTTGTTGTGTTTGTTTGTTTTAACTTATGTAGTTAGCTTCCCAGGTAGTTTGATGTCTAACACCATCAGGAAGGTTTTTGGTTCCGAGTGCTGGCTGACATCACCTGTCTCTTCCTGGTATATGACCTTCACATACCAAGCTTTGGGGCTGTCCAGGTTTCCTGTTACATTTCCATCGAATTAGTTTTAAGATAAAGGCTGAAGAATTGCATGGCAGTCATGGCAGCCACTTGTTCCTTCTTTTCTTGTCTTTTTGCAAAGAGTTTTTGTTTTGAGACAGAATCTTCCTTAGCTGCCCAGTCTGGTTTTGAACAGTCTCAAAACCAGGTAGGCTGTGAACTTCAAATTCTTCTTTCCTTCCTCCAGTGGCAGGGTTAGAAGTCTGTGCCCCTAGGGCAGGCTTTCTTTTCTTTTTTAATTAACAGGGTCTTCTTGTATTTCCCAGACTGGCCTGGAACTTGCTATATAGCCTGGGCTGGTTTTGAGTTCATGGTCCTCCTGCCTCCATGCTCTGAGATCATAGGCACTCACCACCATGCCTACCTCAGATGTACATTTTAGCTGCCAAGAATTCCATTAAGTCAAGAGATTTATCTTATTTTTCTCTTTTAGAATTTAATTTATTACTATATGTGTGTATATGCATGGTGTGTGTGTGTACAGATGTGCCATGCACAGTGCCAGTGTGGGGGGTCAGAAAGTCACGTGTGGGAGTTGGCTTTCTCCTTCCACCTTGAGCCCTGGGGATCTAACTCAGGCTGTCAGGCAAATGCCTTCTCCCACTGAGCCATCTCATCAAGTCCTCTCACGCTTTCTGTGCTCGGGTTTCATTTTGTGCTAGCTAGCCTCTTTTGTTGACATTAGGTCGCTAATTTATGATCAGATAAGCTAGGATGATAGCTCTCAAAGTTTAGTTCATAGACGGCAGCTTCGGGAGCATGTTAGAGACCCTGATCTCTGAGAACAGCGTACAGCTGTAGTAACAAACTGTCCCAGTAGATGTGATTATTAAAGTTTAAGACCCACTAAGTAAACCTTTTCTGTGAAGGGCCACATACTTTCAGATTTATAGACCGTGCAGTCCCTGTCACAGACAATATATGAGTGAATTAATATGGCTGTGTTTCAGTAAAACTTTAATGTGTTTGCAAAAAAATGGGCTCTGTGTATGGCACTAAATCTCTAAGTACTTGGAAGTGTTTTACAGATAGTATATCATGGAATAAATACACGTTGTGCACTCATAGTAATATGATACCTAGGCTCTTACTTTCCACATGAATTATCTTATTTATTCATTTGTGTTGTGTGTTGGGGAGACAGAGGCCAGACAGAGGAGTATGTTGGCTGTCCTTCTCTATTGCTTCCTACCTTATTGTCGTAAGACAGGGTTTCTCGTTGAGCCGGATCTTACTGTTTGGGCTAGGCTGTCTAGCTAGCAAGCCTGTGGGGTCTACCTGTCTGCCCATGTTGCTGCCATTACAGGCAAGCACAGCCACACTCAGCTTTTTGTGTGGGTACTGGAGATTTGAACTCAGATTCTCATACTTGCAGCTCTTGCTGCTTGTGGTGGTTTGAAAGAAAAAGGCCCTATAGGCTAATATGTGTGCATACTTGGTCCCCAGTTGGTAAAACTATTTGGGAAGGATTAGGAGGCATGGTCTTGCTTGGAGGAGGTGTGTCATTATGGGTGGGCTTTGTAGTTTAAAAACTTCCTCTCTCTCTTTCCCTCTCTGTCCCTCTCTCTTTGTCTGTCTGTCTGTCTGTCTGTCTGTCTGTCTCTCTCTCTCTGTCTGTCTGTCTGTCTGTCTCTCTGCCACCTATGTGTGGATCAGTATGTGAGCTCTCAGCTACTGCTCTAGCGTCTTGCCTGCCTGCCGTCCTGCTCCCCTCCGTGACGGTCATGGACTCTTAACTCTCTGAAACCATAAGCCCCAAATAAATTCTTTCTTCTGTAAGTTTTCTTGGGAATGGTGTTTTATCTTTGTCTGGCTTAGAACTTGCTATATAGACCAAGCTAACCCTCAACTCATAAAGATCCACCCACATCTGTCTCTGGAGTGCTGGGATTAAAGGTATGGACCACCATACCCTACTCGATATAATTTTTTAGGCTCAAATTTATCACAAGTTAGAGGAATCTGACAGGAATATCATGGTTCTTCAATTTTGCTTCAGAAATTGTTTGAAATAAGAGGTTTCAGTTTCTCCCCTCCTTTTGTGTCCCCCTTCATAAGGTCATCTGTATTACAAAGAGTAAGTTCTGACTCTGAATGGTAACTTGCCTTTATAAAAAAAGGATGCTGTCCAGTTGAACTGTCCCTGGTGGGAAAGAAAATGGCAGCTGGCTTTCCATTATGTGTCCTTTGTTTTGTGTCTAGAGCTTCGTTTCAGAACTTAGAAGGGCGACATCCTGTGAGAGGCTGACTTCATACTGTAGGACTGAGGTTGATCTAGGGAAAATGGAAACAGGAATGTTGTATTATTCTTTGTTGAGGTCCAGAGTCATGTATTGTGTTTGGACCAGCATGTGGCCATTTATCTTTAAACAGTTTAAAGGAAGTAAGCCATAAAACCTTTTCCTTTCCCCATGTTCATTTGTACTATTAAAGTGTTGATATTCAATTAGAAATAAAAGGAATGGATCAATGGATGTCTAAGAGAAAACAGTTTCTGTTTTAGAATGACTTTTTTTTTAGACATTTGTGGTTGTGTGCCTTTAGAAGAATCCAGAGGACTCTGTCCTGCCGACATTTATCACCTCTCCTTCTGTGCTTATACACGGAGCCCTACTAGAGAGCAGATGTTTAGTTTGGTCCAGCTACTTTGTATCTTAGGGTGTACTGTGTGAGAAGGCTGGTCCAGCTACTTTGTATCTTAGGGTGTACTGTGTGAGATGGCTGGTCCAGCTACTTTGTATCTTAGGGTGTACTGTGTGAGATGGCTGTGGCTATCCCAAGTAAAACATGAGTCACAGAGGTGAAACAGCTGCTTCGAAGTGTCCTCCTCAGAAGTGTATCGTGGCTGCCATTGCAGTTTAAATGCAGAACCGCAGCTCACCTTCCTGTGGGATGCCATGCTGTGGATGCAGGGACAGAACCTTGACTGCTTCTGGGAGATGGAGATAGGAGACTTGCATGTGAGCAGAAGGGGTCTATGGAAAGGCTCTGAGCTCCTCTCCTGGGTCTCAGTATCCTGCAGTCTGAGATGCTGTTGTCTGAGATGAGTCATACCCTCTGAAGAGCTCACCCACGAGGGGCTGTGAGAAGATTGTGGTGATTATTTTCTTTCCTGGAGAATGTAGAATGCA